ACAGGGCAATACCTGCTCCATGGAGAAGGAAACTGGAAAGATTTAAAGTTAAATTTAAAATACATCTTTCTTAGAGCTACAAAGAGCAGAAACAGTGTGGTGCGTCCCTTCACAAAATAAGTTAGTGCCCTACGGCCTTCAATGTGTTGAGTGTGGCTATAAATGTCCTTTATTAAAGGTTTCGGTGACCCAGGTGCTTTCAGTGAGGTTTGTACAGCTCCTGCTGTGGGCATGGTGAGCAGGGTGCTCACAAAAACCCCACATCCTTCATAGAGTAGGGGCTGCCCCTGCTCCCATGCATCTTTCCCCATCCGGTCCTCTTGGGAGGCTTCTCCAGCAGCCAAGCTTGCCTGCCTTTGGCTCTGCTCTGCCATAGCCTGCGTTCGGGCAGCATGCGGGTGCGGGAGCGTTTGGCTTCAGGCTTTGGTTTTAAAGAATTCAGGGGCGAGGTGTTGAATACCTTTTGGGTCTTGCTCGTGGTGCAAGTTTGGGATAAAGAAAATGAAGGCAGTTTCAGATTGGCACCTAGAAACAGTGTGGAAGGTGCCATGGCAGGCTGCAGCCAGAGGGACGGGTTCCTGGATCAGGCCGTGCCGAGCTGCGCAGCTGCAGGTTGCCCAGGCAGACGGGTAAAGCAGCAGATAAAACTCTTGGTGCTTCTCTGTGTGTGGCAGGGTTGGGCAGTGATTTGTGGGGAGCGGTGCAATTGCTCCAGTTCTGCAAAGTGCAAGGGAAGCTGAATATCAGCGAGAGGAGAAGAAAGATAGCTGTGCTAATGAAAAAAAAAAAAGTGTGTTTAAGAGAGCTGATTTTTAATCAGCTGCTTCTGGGTTAGGCAAAACAATCCTGAGAGACTTGAGGCTCCTGCAATGTCCTCTTTAATGGCTACTTCATTCCTCAGCAGCGCTGACTTCCAATTTGAAAAGAGCTTTTTTTTTCTCTTGAAAGAGTGATTAAATAGCATCAGCAAAAGCCTCCAGGAGCAGTGGGGTGCCAGGTATCTGAGACATGGGCTGGGCTGCATGCTTTGTGCAGGAAAGGTAGGGGCTCAGAGGTGGAATGACACACAGGACTTCTTTTAACAGCAGTGAATAGCACTGCTGGTGCTGGCTGCCATGCAAGCAGGATGTCAGCCACCACCACTCGCGGATGCTCATGGCTGTCTGTGGGGGAATCCCATCTCCTCCCCGCCTGGCATTAACGAGTGCCGAATAAAGACTGATGACCAGGGCCAAAACGCCGATGTGCTGAGTGATAATTACCAACAAAAAATGTTAGTAGCATGAAAACACTATCTTCCCCTTTCCTCCAGGGAGCCCTGGAGCCAAGCGCTGTGGTGGGACATGGCTTTGCCCAGCCACTGCATCCTGTGCAGCACAGCCCTGGGTGCATGCAGAGAGCCTCACTGGATCCGGCTGGAGCGGGGCGGTGGGTGAGGCGGGCCTTGGGTTGCAGGGGTAGTGGCCTCTGTACAGCACTGACCGGGTGCTTCAGCATCCCCCAGGGAAAGCACGCGAGTGTCAGCTCGGCAATAGCTGAGTGCCAGTTCAATCATTTTGGATTTCTATAAAAGATCACTTCTGGCCGAGAAATGGCCGAGAGCTTCCACCACTGGCCCAGGAAAACCTGAACTGTCCACAACTGCTTGGGAGGGTGATGGCAGAACCCCCCCTTTCCCGGCTGATCCCCCCCATCCCATGCTGTCCCTCTGGAGCCCCCGCACCCTGCTCACGGGGGGGTTCCCTGTGGGAGGGAACCGCAGCCGTTTGGCGGTCCTCTGCCCTGGTACCTGCAGGCCCAGGCACTCCTGCAGCTTTGCCCAGGGAGGATGCTCAGCCTGTGCATGGCCAGAGCAGCCAATGATGACTGGGCACCTTGGGCTTCATCAGAGTCAGCGTTCGCTTGTCTTGCCATCCTGATCACTACCCCAGCCACTGCTCCCAGCGCAGCCATCCTCGGTGGGTTGCATGGGCTGCTGCCAGTTCAGCTGCTGGGGATTGAGCTGGTTAATTGTCTCAGACTTGGGAATTAGTGCAATGGAACCACAAGGGGCTTTTACTGTCCGGTTACTTAGAAACCAACCATTGATTTTACTTGGCTATTTTGCAGCTTCTGGGCATGTGTGTCTGTGTGTGTATATATATATGTGTGTGTAATATGTCTACACATATACATACACCTGGAAGCTGCAAAGTAGATGTAAATGTATACATTTTTTTTTTTTTTTTTTTGCTTGGTGGGGTTTTTTTTGGTTTGGTGGGGTGGTTTTTTGTGTGTGTGTTTTGTTTGTTGTTTTTTTTTTTTAAGGGGGGTAGAGGAGAACCAGGTCTCGAACTGTTGCTATTTCAGACAAAGTACTGCTCTGCCCTAGGACCAGTAATCAAATCAGCGGCTGCATGCTTTTAAGTAGCACGAGGTCCGCGCTGGGACACGAGCCATCCCAAGCAGGCTGAGTTTTTAGCTGGTTTTGTGGCTCCATGTGTTGATGTGGCCACTTTGCTTTCAGGCTGCCTGCCCATTAATTAGAGCATGCAGTTGTGTGAAGTGCTTGCAGGCAAATGAGGGCTGAAAACAATGCGAGTAGCTAGGGGCTGTGACTTGGTGATGCTCTCCAGGCTGGACGGTGGGCTCAGGCAACCTCCTCCTGAGCTGCTGAGCAGCTTCTGAGCTCATTTTGCAAGAGGGATCTTGCACTGCAAAGACTTGGCATTTTCAGTGTCAGCTCTTTACTATAGACATAAAATTTTCCAAGTACCCAGGTCACGTGTACGCTAAGTAAATGGCAAAGACAGCTTTGGAAATTCAAACACAATATTTCTGCCTAGATTCATTAGTGGACCAGACTCTGCAAAGAGCTGGTTATTGTTCTCCAGAGCAAAACCGTGTTCCTGTGTGTGTGTGCTTTACCCGCCAGGTCCCCAGCGTGTGGAGGGATGAGCCCTGACATGGCTTTGTGGCGCAGGGGACCTGCGGGGAAGGAGGACAGGGACAGCCAGCCAGTACCTGGGCTTGACACCCTGAGACAGATGCCGCTGCTGGGGGGAGTGATGTACCCTGTAAATGCATGCAAACACCAGAGGGTTTCACTCACAGTATATGTGTATATATGTATGTATGCATTTGTATATACATATATATAAAGGGGTGTATATATATATAAAGGGTACACGTGTGTGTGTATATATATATTTATATCTATAAACAGCTCCATGGCCAAACTGTGCCCTTGCAGCCATGTGCCTGTGCAGAGACAGAGACAGACTTTGAAAAGCAACAAATAGCTCAGTGAGAAATAGGACTTAAAAAAACTCTTGTACAAAATAAACGTAAACTGTTTGGAAATGCGCGGTAGCACTTGACTTCTCCGAAGAGCATTATGCAGCGGGTGGGCTGTCTCCAGAAGTAACGTGGAAATCCCAATCCTGTGAGCCCCAGCTCCTCTTTCCTGCCAGAAGGGTTGCAGCTCTATCCGGAGCATGCAGGCAGCTGCAGGGTATTTGCCTTTTAACTTTCTGAGGGTTATGCTTTGTGCTGGTGAGCAGGGACAATTGGCATCATTTGTGCTATTCTGTGCCTGGATGGGTTTTGTTACGCAGGGGTCCAGCTGTGCTTTCACTCAAAAAAAAAAAAAAAAAAAAAAAAAAAAAGGAAAAAATAGAAAAGAAAAAAAAAAATCAGGTCAGTGCCTGCCCCAACCGTGCTGTGAGCCCGGGCGCTTGCAGTGCTGGAAATGCAGCTCTAGCTTTTAAAATATCTACTTGGGGACAAATCCCTGGCTCTCCTTAAGTTTTAAATTCCCATTAGCAGCACTAAATTTTGGGTACAGCAGTGGCATTAGGGGGCCCTGGGGAGGGGTGGGAGGACACCCCTGCCCCAAGGGCTGCCTGCACCCCTGCCCCAAGGGCTGCCTGCACCAGTCAGGCTGGTTTCCCTGGGGATGCCTTTGGTTGCTCTCCCACATGGGAAATTGTGCCATATGAGCAAATACCTGAAATGGCCACAAAATCAAGAGAGTAAAAAGAGAAGGAGCTGAAAGAGCAGGGCAGGACCTGTGCTAGTATCAGGTGTTTTGTCCCACCCCTTTCACTGTGGGTGAGCAGGGCTTTTTTTTTTTTATTTGGCTTTAAATAATTCATTAGGAATAGCAAAAAGTGCAGTGATTGTTCATGGTGCTCTGCAGTGGAAGGTAGATAGATGGTCCCCAAATTATACCTTGATCTGGCAAAAAAATTGCACAGATCCAGCTGTAACATAAAGGTTAAATCAGGAGGGTATAATGAAAAGGGTATTTTGTACTGCAGCAATAGGTTTAAGTTAGGGTAGGGGTTTAATGTATGGCACATTTCATGGCCTCAGGGCTAGTTATCTTGTCTCCAGCCTGGCTCTGGGAGGTGGGGAGAAGGGTGATAACTTTATCTCACTTATGCTGAAAAGCAGACAGTGTTAGGGATCAAGCTGCTGCCTCCCCTCGGGCTGGAAAATCGCAGGGTGTTTTGTTCACGGGGAATCCATGAGCTTGGGAGCCCAAGTGGTAACCAGACCAGGGGTTTGCTGTGATGGATGTGAATGTTTTGACAAGTGTGAGGGTGAATAAAAAAAAGTGAAGCTGAATAAGGCAAATACTTTAATCAGTGTTACTACAATGAATACCAAATGATGATGAAAGTGAAGGGAATGTGTGTGCCTTATTCATGGGACCCCAAACGACATCAGATGTGAGATACATCTGAACGTATTTGGGTTTATTCCCAGCCCCACGAGTGCTCAGAGCTTCTCCCACAGCCTAGCAAGGCAAAGGATGATGGCAGTGCATCCACCCTTCTCCAAACCGGGCAGCTGGCATCCCCAGTGAGGGGAGAATATGCTCCTTTTGGAGGAGAATGGATGATTTGGGCAAAAGCAGGGTCTTGTGTTCTCCGGCTGCTGGTTTCCCACCAGGTTAAGTTGTGTGTCCCTTGAGGGCTTAACAATATTTTCTAATTATTTTCTTTTCCTTCTAGAAACCTTGGAAAATCTGGACTGAGAGTCTCGTGCCTGGGCCTGGGTGAGTAACCTCTGCAGCTGCCGCACTTACTGCAGCCACACGCTGCCCTGGAGTAGTGATAGCTGCTCTTGTATCTCAGTAAAAAAAGTGTGCTCGCTCAGGGCCCCAGCCTGTGCTCAGTCTTGCAGATGGCTCACGGCAAAGGCCCTTACGTGTGTTCATAACAGCTCTGTGCATCAGCTGAGGTGCTTGCCCATGGTGTGAGGCAATGCTTTCCACCCATAGCGCCCGAGTGGAACTGTACGAGGGTTTATGGCATAAAATCCTTCTAATACAGCCCGATCCCCATGAGGCACAGCCTGCAGAAACCACATCTGAGATGCCTGTGAATGCCTCCAAGAGCTTTAAGTGTCAGAGCTCCAGTCTCGGGGGACAGCAATCTGCCTGGGCTGTGGGCAGATTTTCATTTTATTTTATCCAGTGTGTGTACCTTGTTATTTCTGTTCCATACTGATTTGAAAACTAAAAAATATCTTATCAATATTTTATCAAAAAGGGCATCTATAAACACTGCGGCACGTATGTCCTGGCCCTGCAGGTCCTGTAGTGATGCTGCGGTTCCTGCAGGCTTTAGTATGTTGCTGCTGGCCTTCAGCTGCCTGGTAAGAGTGTGTGAGATGGACTGGACAACTCCTGATGGCTTTACTCATGCAAGTAATTTCTTTGATGGCAGCTGAACCACTCACATGAAGAATGCTTAAAAAGTACATATATATATTAAAAAAAACAAACACTGTAGAAAGAAGGAGGCTGTTTTTCTCACTGTGAGCAGCTTCCTGTGGTGCAAGGCTGGGGCATCAGGAGCGCGAAGCCCCCGGGGATGCGCGGAGACCCCCCAGGGATGGATGCTCAGCTCTGCTGGGGCCCCTCCAGCCCCGCGTTAAAGGGAGGTCCTTGTTCCCCCAGGGGTCAGAGGTGCCGGCATGTCTTTAGGAAAGCGGTTGGGTGTGCTGGGCTCCTGTGCTGCTGCCTCAGGGGAGAGTGGGTGAAGGCAGGTGCAGGCAAGGACCTGGATTCTGCCTGCATTTGGTGCCTGCTGTGGTAATGGGCACCCCTTCCAGCTCCCCGCTCCGTCCCCAGCTGGTGCCGGTTGTGCTCACAGGGCAGGTGCCTGAGGGGTTAGCTCATTTTTTCCAACACGCTTTGAGATTTGATTTTAAAATAGAGTGAAATGTGAAAGTCACCCTGTATCACAAGTCATATAAATAAGGCCTATTCCGCCAAGAAGAGCTCTTCTGGTTAAAATAGATCCAGGCTTTGAAAGGAGTTGTCGTCTTATCTGCTGCAGAGATTTTATTTATCATCCTTACAGTTTCACCAAGAGCTAATGTTGTTGTGGTAGAGAAGAGCTATGGGAAGGAAGTAGCAGCAGGAAAAAACGTTTTGCAGAGCTTTTCTTTAATTTCAAGCATGTGGAACTGCAGCAGCATCTAAATATATTGAGCCTTTGTGAGCGCAGCTGCGTGGCATGAGTGGGGGCTGAGGATGGAGCAAGTGGCTGCCATGCTGCTCCGGGCAAGAGCAAGGCTTGGGGGAGAGCTGCCGTGCATCAATTCAGAGCTGGGCATCTCAGCCTGTTCCAGAAGCAGTGAGCCCTACAGCCCTTGGGGTGTATGCAGGAATTGGGGAGAGGAGAACTGGAAAGCCTGAAATTCAATTGCCACCTTCTCTTGAATGTACAGGTATTTCTTCTGCAGCACAGCTCATCCTCCCCTCCCACAGCAGATCCATCAGGTGTCTGCTTCGAGTGCTGGCTTGTATGACTTTTCTAAATAGCTTCTCTTTTACAGTTTCCTAAAAGATAAATGTGTTTCCCTAAACTCTCTGCAGCATGAAAATCTCATTTAAGGTTTACTAAAGTTTCGAAGACTCAGCAGTCTTCCTTAAAAGCCTTCCAAAATCTCAGCAAGGTGGGAGTGTGCTTCATCCTGTAGTATGAAAAAGTAGGTGGAGAAAGACGCAAAGCGGGACAGAAATCAAAGGCAGGCAGCGCTAAGGCAATGTGTACCCTTTAATTACGTCCTGCTTCTCCCAGCTCACACTCTCTAATTAATTCATTTGCCGGGTGCTGCTTGCAGTGTGAAAAGCATTGAGTGAGCGCACGGGGTCAGAGGGGTGTGTTAGCAGCGTGTTTCACAAGCAAAGACATTTGGGAAGGGTTGCTGTGATGATGGCTGAGAGCGCGAGCATCACTCTTGGGTCGCTGAACCTCCTGCTGGAGCTGGGACCATTCTGCTGGGCTGAGCTCCCCTGGGACCCAGCTCCTGCAGCATCCTGGTGCTGAGCCCTGCTCCAGGCTGGGCTTTGACCTTCTCCTTTGGGTGAGCTAATGCCAGGTGAGGCTGTAATTGAGGAATCTTGGTAGTCTAACCCTGGGCAGACGCATGGGCTGGCATGAGGCCGTTTCTGTGATGCTGGCTCTGAAATGCGATTGCAATGCAGGGGAAAAAATAAGGTCACATTTTTCTTGCAGTTAATTCAGAGCAAATTCTGCCTGTGGAGGCTGCCTGTTGATTTTTAGAAAATATTGAGACAGCTTCCAACAACGTCATTAGCCCTGACTCCAAGGAAACGAGCAGCAAGATGAAACCAGCCATCCCAAACCCCAAAATCCAATTCAATGTAAAAAAGCACAGAAGAAACTTTCCCAAACAAGCAGTTCCTGTAGCCACCAGTGGGATACCCTGCGCTAGCAATTGGGTACAAAAATAGATGTTTTGTGAGCAGAAAGGGGTCGGCTGCTGCCATTGCCCCTTGGTGCTTTGCTCTGGAGAAAAGCTTTTGCAAACCCAGCATGTAAGAAAAACCCAACCCCAAATGTCTGCTAGCCTGGGATGATAGCGAGGGGGTCTGATTTGCAACCAGGTACTCGCAGCATGCAGGGCTGAGGGTTTGCTGGTCACTCGAGCTCCAGACCAGACCCACGTGCCAGATCTCCATGTGGCATTCCCCTTGCCAGGAGCAAGCCAGGGACAAAATCGTACTGGTAGGGGGTAAATCTTTGGCTTTCAGCCAGGAACCCTTTTTTTTCCTGCAGAGGTGACAGAGCTGCTGGCAATGACATTATTGAGTGAGTGGTGCATTTTGCATCAACAAATAACCCAGCAATAATCACACCTTGCTAGGCTCTGGGATGCAATGGGAATGGAGCCAAATCTAGTTTTAATAGAGAAATTCTTCTGTTGAAGGTGAGGATATCCAGCTGGGAAATTGCTTTCCAGTGTGAGGGAACAACGTGATGGGTGAGGGGCAGGAGTGGGAGGTCTATCTGCCACTGCCAGGCTGAGTCGTGGGGGGGATGCGTTTATAAACAGTGAATTGGGATAGACAAGAGAAAGACGATGACTTGGTAAGGGGAGAAGTAATGATTAAAAAAAAAAAAATCTTTCTCTAGTATATTTTTCTTCCAAAATACTCCTGTTGGCTGAGGTTGTGAATCATCCTCAGTCATTGTTTGAAATGCCAAGTGCGCCTTGTACTTTCTGGAGTGATTTTTTTTAATCGGAGTTGAGCAGCAGGCGCTGTGCTGTGCCACAGCCCTGGCAGCTGCCCAGCTGCTTTGGGTGTGGGTGCCCACCACCACCCATGCTAGCTGCCCGGGGGTGGTCACAGGAGGGGGATTTGTGTGCTGCCTTCCCTGCTCCCGGCTCTGGCTGGGACTATAAAGTGCATCTCACTTTCTCGATTGCATCTGATGCTTTGGAGATCACCTTGCTGAGCAAAAACTCACCTCCCTGCCTGGTTTTTGCAATTATTAAGGAAAAAAGTACCCCAAGGATTCCCCACCTGTGTGGTCCTGATGATGCTCGCTGTTCAGGGATCCCAGGCCCCTTGGGTTCCCCCCCGCTGGGGTCTGGGAGCACAGGGGGGAGACAGGCAGATCCAGGGCAGGTATACCCAGTATTGCATATATTTACTACTTATACTTAAAGAGATAAAGTGCTCGTTATTCTTACATGAGCCATTGCCAGCTCTCGGGCTGCTCTCCATATGCCCAAACACTTGAGCATTTTGCCTCTGTCACGCCTTGCTGCTCGGTAAGGCACGGTTTGTGTTGTAAGGTCGTAGTCACCTAAATTCGAGAGAGGATGTGCGGTCCACAAAATGCATAAATAATTCCTTTTCTTCTCACCTATGCTGGGGACCTGTATGCACACTTAAGCAAAAAAATCACTTTGGGATAAACAGTCCCAACACATTATTCAGTAGAAATGCATTTTAATGTATTCCTAGAAAAATAACACTTCTGAAGCTTTAGCATGGAAATCGGGCTTCATTTGGATTTTTTCATCTGCATAAAGAAGCTTAATGATAAACTGAAATCTATTTTCATTTTTATCTTTATTGTGTGGGACCAGAGCATTTTACTCCAACAATAACCTGAGGTCTATAACCAGCAAGGCGTAGCAGGGGCAGGCAGGGGTGGCTGCCCGCTGGGGGGGCTTTGGGCTCTGTGGGTGCTGCTGTCACCCTGTTATTGCCCTTAGAGAGAGCAGAAGTAAATGCAAAATTAGTTAGAAATGTGTGGTGTTTGCTCATTTTTTATTTTGGTAGCATTAGCTGTGTTATGCATTTCTGATCTGTGAAACTTGGTGTTTTCAGAGCTTGGGCTATTCTGCAGGAAATCAAGAGTTTCAGTTTAAATATACAGTAAACACATCTTTAAAAATAACTTTATTTATACTCAGAAACGTGATGTATAAAAAAAATTCCAATTAACCTTGTTTGAGGGAAAGAGCAAGATTCTCCAAACAAGTTGCCCAGAGAGGTGGTGGATGCCCCATCCCTGGAAACATTCAAGGTCAGGCTGGACGGGGCTCTGAGCAACCTGATCTAGCTGAAGATGTCCCTGCCCACGGCAGGGGGGTTGGACTAGATGACCTTTAGAGGTCCTCTCCAACCCAAACTATTCTACGATTCTATGATTCTAACGGAGCCAACTCTTCTTGTTTTGTTTTTAGCCAGGGACTGACCAAAGCAGCTTGAGCGTTAGCAGTAGGCACGCTCTTTGCTTTCTGACTCCTGCTCAAGGTTCATCTTCCACGCTTGCTGGGAGCAATGAGCTAACCGATACATTTTTAATGAAGCTGTGGGAGCACTTATGTATCTATTGCACCAGGCCCTTTGCAAGTGCAAGCAGGCAGGCAGGGAGCACTTAATTTTTTTCCCCCTTAGCAGCATTAGAGTCCGACCCTTCCCTGGCATGGCGATCTCTCCTCCATCTTGCCCAAATAGCACTGAGTTTTCCAGCTCATGGCCTGAACCCCTCTGCCCTCCCTATGGAGGGACAATATAAGGCAGAATTTTAAATTCTGGAGGATTTTGTGTGAGCCACATGAGCTTTGACCCATCCATTAAATGAGTAACATGTAATTTTATATGTAGCTGGTGTGTAGGTCTTGAAAAGCGCAGGGAAAAGTTGTGCTGTAGATCAAAGTGACATCGTGACAAGCTGGCAAAAGGTAATGTCACAGCCTCCTCTTTTGTGTCTCAGCATCGCTTTCCATGAGGTGTTTTGTAAGGTCAGATAAGTAGGGCAGGAGCAATGTCTGCCAGGGTGAATACGTGCTGTCTGATCAGTGTCCCATATGGGACCTGGTGCTTCCTCAGCTCACTGCCATCTCTTTCTTCCAGTAGCTTAGAAAGTATGTATTCCTAGTATATATACATATAAAAATATATAAAGGAAATAATATTCCTATAGCTTAGGAATATCCGGTTAAATCCACACACTGTTTCCACTACAGGATTTTTTTTTTTTTGAAGCAGTGGTCATAAAGAAATAATGCCCCAAGTTTTTCCTAATAATAGACTAGAGTCTGCTGCTGAGTCTAAACAGCAGCTACTCTTTGAGCTAGCTGGTCAAAGTGCTGCTGATCAGCTGTGCTGGTGTCGGACATTGGCTTTGTGGAAAAGTTCCTGGGGAAAAGTCACTTTGGATGGGTTTTAAATACTTCATGTCAATAGAAATACTTCTAATTTTTTTTTTTAATTTTGACTTGTATGATGCTAAATGCTGAAGCACAAACTTAGGAAGAGTTTCATTCCCCAAATGACATGTTTCAGCAGCATCATAAATTTTTCCAATTTGTCAGATTGAAGCTTTGGAAAATGAACTCAGTTTTGCAAAGAGCTTCAGATTTCAATAAAACTGTATTTTGGCAGCACAGGATCTTACTGACGCTTCCCTGGGTGGGTTCATGTGCCAGTCTCAGGTCTGCATGCCCGCCCCCAGCCCCGCTGTCCTCCCCGGGAAAGGGGGCTCTGGTGCCTTCCCCGGTCCTGCTCGCTTGGGGATGCAGCAGCCTCTGAGCCAGCCTGAATTTTGGTAGAGTGAATTTTTGTCAGCAAAAACCTTTCATAGTAACAGATTATTTTGTTCCTTCTAGGGACATGGGTCACTTTTGGAGGTCAAATCTCAGATGAGGTAAGTAATGCTTGGTGTAAGTATAATGCATGAAGTAAAAACCAATATGAGATATTTTTTAAATGAAACCATGGCTACCGAAATCAGAGGAGCCTGTTTCTGTATGAGGAAATGGCAGAGAGTTACTATGCAAAGCAATACAAAGTTTGCGCTTCTGCTACAAAAAACCTTAATGAATCTGACATTTCCAGAGATCAAATTTAATAAACCCCCCACCTATCCCTTAAAGCGATCTTCTTTTCCGTGCTGTTTGGAGCGATATTTCCGTCCTTACCATTGGCAGTGGCACTGTTCCTGGAGCAGAAATTGGAAACTATTTTTGCATCATGTATGTAATCAGCAGCAGTCATAAATACAGGCAGGGGCCTGGCTTACAAGGAACTGCCGGGTGATTTATTTTTTACATAATAAGATGAAACAAATGAAAATGAGCTTGGGTTTCCCACGCACTCTTGCTCATACCAGATGGCTCTTAATCTCAGTTAATAATCCTCCCTAGTGCTGGGCAGCACGTGGGTTTCCCTCCATCTCAGGTATGCTGTGGATACTAGCCATCAAAAGGAGAGCAACCTCCCGGCAGCCTTCCCTCTAGTACTGTGGCAGAAACCCCAAAATAACTTTTGCAGAAGGAAAACGGCCCAGGAGTCTGAATTCAAAGGTTTTTTTGCTTTTTAAGTCACTTGATCTTTGGTCGTATTTCTTCTGCTGACAGCAAATCACTGAGTTCATTCCTGTTTCTTAGCGTTGCAGGCTGAAGCAAGACAACTTGTTTCAATTATGAATTTGCTCCCTGGCTCTCCTGCCCTCCTTGTTTAGAATAAGTCAATGCAAAGTGTTCATGCATGGAAAAAGAGGACCTAAATGCAGCCCCATCCTTTGGGGATGCCCATCCAAAGGATGTTGGCTGTGTGTGGGTGCCCTCGCGGGCCGCCTGTCCCCCTGGAGCTGCCAGCCCCCTCTGGGTGCAGAATGTCCCCCAGGGAGCAGTGGGACTCCTGGGGCTCTGATGGGGTTCACATGAAATGACCTTCAGCTGTTTAAACACCTCATGAAATCTGCTGGTGAACTGCAGAACAGCCTGTTGGGTAGCCAAAAAAACTTAAAACCTTACCATGACAATATCCTTTCTGTATTAAACTCCACAGATTTGCAGAGTATCTTCTATAACCCTATTAAATTCTTGGCTGCTTTCCTATTAGAAAGCCCAGGACCTTCCTATGAGAAGAGATTAATTCCTCCCAGGATGAGTCAATGGGAAGTTGATGTAAATCCATGTTTTGGTGTTGCTTGGGCCAGGGCATGAACCCCTGGGTGCCCTGCTGAAGGGTCTTGCCCCCCGGGCAGGGGATGCTAACGCACCTCCCAGCCCCGCTGAATCCCCTTTGCTGCGCCTTCAGGGGCTTTTCCCAGTGCAGGACGAGCTGCTAGCTGCTCGGGATGTGGTCTGCCACCCTTCACCTCTCCGTCTTTGCTTCCCCGAGGTGGCCGAGCAGCTGATGACCATTGCCTATGAGAGCGGCGTCAACCTATTTGACACAGCTGAGGTGTATGCGGCTGGCAAGTAAGTGCCCAGCATCCTGCTCTGCTTTCCTGGGGCCCCTCTGCCTGGCTCTGCTCCTCCCTGTGTCGCAGTCACGATGGATAGGGCTCTGGTGGTGCTTGGGAATCCCCCTTCTCCCTGAGGGGGCACAGAAAAACCTTTATTTTTGGAGCACTCTTAAAAAAGAAAAAAAAATCGAAACCAAACCCCTTTGCACCTAGCTGAAGCCTGAAATGTATCAGTCATGCCACTTGCCGTTGGCACAGGGAGAAAAATGTCCTGAATAAATGAAAAGTCAGTCCGCATCTTAATGGTGATGAATGGCCTGTGCCAATGACAGCTCCCAAGCGCAGCTCCCGGCATGGGGAACCGTTCTGGCTGCAGCAGAACTAATGCTCTTAGTGTTGCTGCGGGACTGGGGAAAAAAAAATATCCATCCATAATATATTTGACTTTGGCTGATTTATATGTCTTTGTATTTAGTGTAAAAGGTGGACTGGGCCATCACGTCCCTGGTGTGGGGATGAAGTGGCCCTGTCTTCCCAGAGCAGGTTCAAGCAGGTGTAGGGCATGGGGGTGCAGGTCTGTCCCCGCAGGAGTGGGTGGACAAGATGATTTGTACTGATGGAGGGGACCCATCCCAGCTGGTCCTGGGTCATCGTCACCTGTGGAGGGGAGGGGAGAGCTGTGCAGCTGAGAGCGGCGCTGCAGGCTGGTGGTGTCTGGGTGGTATCGTCCAGGGGAGTCCACGTAGATGGCAGCCGTGATGGTATAGCTGGTGCTGAGCATCCTCCTGTCTCCCCTCACGTGGGGCTCTCTCTCTTGCACAGGGCTGAGGTCATCCTGGGAAACATCCTGAAAAAGAAGGGCTGGAGGTACTGTACTGCTGGACGGCGCTCCCTGCTACCTGCAAACAAGCGGGACCCCTGGGCATATGAGAATCCTTCTGTTTTTTAAAAATGATGCATGTTAGGTGTTGCTGGCCCAGGAGCAGGAGCTTGCGGGTGCGAGGGCCATGCACAGAGCAGCCAGCCAGGGCTCCTGCGGCAGCCAGACCTTTCAAGTGCCAAATAAAAATGCTCTCCTGTTTTTTGGGGAGTGCACACCGGCTTCACGAGGCTGCGATCATCAGCCTGCGGTGCTGCTCCGACTCTTGCATGAGACCATTGTCTCTGTGCACAGCACAGTTAACACAACTTCTGAGCATATCCATCATCTTTTCCATGCACGGTGTAGAGAGACAAATTATTTGTGTGTCGACATCCTTATCTGTGTACATAAGACTGTGCATTAAGAATGCAAAGCTGTGATGGGCCTTCATCTTGGGTAGCCTGATAGGAGATGATACCTAATTTAAATGACGCACATTAGCATATGTTGTGTAGTTTTAAGAGCATTTACATAATCTTTAAAGACCTCCTGTGTGTGCCATATTCAGCCTTCAACTGAAGAGTGGGTCCTAGCAGTGCTCTCTTCAAAATCAGTATCCCCTGTGTTAGGGGGATGATAATTCAGTAAGAAATATTCTGGGTACTGTGCAAGAAAAAAAATTGAGTCTAGCAAAAGCTGGAGAAATTTTGTTATACATGTGGAGTTATGCAGCAAGGTAGTTTGCAAATTATAAATCTTTGATTTAATATCACATGGGAATTTATAGATTAATTCAGTGAATGTATCACTCTTGGAGTTTTAATAACTCTGGGAATACTGCATGATAATGAGAAGCACTGGACTTGAATACCAGGAGGGAATAGTGCTGTAGCCCTTGGTTAAGGGCTCTGGAGATTGCTTACTCCATAATTAAAACTGTATCTTTTTTTTGGTCACTTGACTTGAATTAGCTTCAGTTTCTGAACACCAGCCTATGGTCACTCCCTGCCTGCAGTGGACCTGAGCATGGGAGGAGAAGTGGCTTGTTGTAAAAAGGATTATAGTGATGTGTGAACACCCGCTCTGAGCCCAGGGCTGCAAAACCAGGCACGGCCACTGCTGCAGGAAGCCAGAGTACTGCCGCTTTTCGATGGGCAGCATCCTGCTTGGTTACTTACATTATAATTTTTTTTAACAATAATAATTTTTCTGTTCTGTTTGCAGGAGGTCCAGTCTGGTCATAACAACAAAACTGTACTGGGGTGGAAAGTAAGTCTCACAGTTACTCATAATGGTGTTGGCTGCTGCATGCTTTTCCCTTTTACAGCCATACAATCAGGTGGAGATTAATGCACCTTGGAGGGGTGGTTTGTTGCTGTCATTTTCTTTCTCCTCATTTTGCCACATCTTCTAAGGAGTCGGAGCTTGGCAGAGGCGGCAGGCCCCAGCAGAGGCTGGGGTGCTGTGCTGGGTATGCTCCTGCCCTGAGCAGGGCTGCAGCTCCGGGAGCTGTAACCAGCAGGGTGAAGGCTGCCTTGCTCCGAAATTGTAGACGATGTCAATGAAGCCTCAGTGCTGGGCGGTTGGCCAGGGCACAGCCCCATCCCTGCACTGCCTGGCCCCAGCAGCCCCTGCTGCCCTGCTAGCATCCTTACCCCTCCGCTTAGAAATGTCGGACAGTAGCTTTACAGTCAGGCAATATCCATAGCAGGGCTGTTACCTTGTTAAATTAACAGTGGTATTACTCATCCCAGATGCTGTTGTCTTTGATACTGGGAACCCAAACGAGGTTCAGGGTCTCTCTGTTGTACAAGTTGTAACTTCATTTTTGGGATGTTTAGACCAGAATACAAAATTAGCTCTCCCTGATTGTTAGCACCTCAGATCTCTAACAGCTGTATACCTGTTTTTCCTTTGCAGAGCTGAAACAGAAAGAGGGCTTTCAAGAAAGCACATCATTGAAGGTATGTGTTGCATGGGGCAGGGGTCTGGCCGTGCCTGAGTGCCCTGGCATGGGCACAGTGGGATGAAACCAGCCGGACCCCAGGGCGAATGCTATCCCATGAGCCAGGTCTGCTTGACCCCAGCACTCACTGCTCTTCCACACCAGCCCTGCGTGGGGCAGTTCCCAGGCTTGGCTGTGAAGGGCCCAAAATGCACCGAAGGATTATTCTGGCTTTTCTCAAAAAGTGTGAGCAAATGCATTGCACACAAAAAGCCTTCTCTACCACACCTCTATGCAGCAATAACCTTTTGGTTTTTTGCTATAATAAGCAAGCGTGATGTCCTTGGCTGGCTGCGTGTGCGTTGCTTGCAGATTTATCGCTTATCTGCGGCAATTGGGGTTTGCCATGCCAGGGTTTCATTGCTCACTGCCTCGCGTGGCTTCCCGGCAGCTTTGCACCATTGTCCTCAAGAATGGCCCCGATCCCAACTGCCGTGAGATGACAGGAGGCCAGAAGGCTCAGTGGGTCTGGAGCTGCTCTGCTGACACTCCCCAGCTCTTTCCTGGAGGGGCTGGGGCAGTCAGCGGCAGCACGTGGTCGGCAGACGTGGCCGTGGCCGCATGGGCTCCCTTGGCAGAGCAGGGAGGGATGAGGATGTGGGGCATGATGTCAGCTGTCAGAAATAGCTGCTGGAGGGGTGCCAGTTCTCATCCACCGAGCAGCCGGCTGGGAAAGGCTGTGGTTTGCTCTCAGTGCTGCTTCTTCTCAGGTGCTCAATTTTTGTGTACGTTCCCTCGCCTGGCTCCTTGCATCCAGTCCCGCATCCTGCTGAGTGATGCCATTGCCTTATGCACAACCTTACTCATCCATCAGGATGTATTCACCCAGCTCTTTGCTGCGTCTAATGCATGTTCCTCATCTTCCTTCCGACTGCTTTTTTTGTTCTCTCAGATGCATTATTGTTGGAGAGGGAGTGAGAGCACATACATTTTTCTATATGGACAAGTGTGTTTCACCTGATCTGGCTCTTTGTGGAGGGCTGTTGGGTCAGACACCCGGGCACAGCAACCACAGGCATAATTATAACTTGTATGGGATTTTACATGCAGGATACAAATAGAACAGCACCCATAAAAAGACACATTTCTGTCATATTAAGGATGAGCAGTGTCAGCCATGACCTTGTCCCAGTGAGAGGTCCCTGCCTGGGCTGGCTCCTGACAGGGGCTGAAGCAAATCCCCAAAATCCCTCAGGAGGACCCTGGGGCTGACTGCCCTGCCTCGTGCAGATCATGAGTGGGTCCCAGACCCAGAAAAGCAGCCAGCTGCACGGGGGCCTGGCTCTGTCTTCTACATAAATCCTGAGTAAAAATAACATGGGTTTGGAGAAAAGCTGCATAAAGACATGGAAGGGAGTTATTGGGGGTGTCTGGCTCCCCAGGGGGCTGGGAAGCCTCTGGGACAGAAGGCAAGCATCAGGCTTGGTACCTGTGCTTCAGATCTCTGCAGAGGGATTCGCACTGCCCGCCTCTTGTTGCTGTTTGACCCACTTCTGTCTGCTGCCACGGAGGGATGTGCAAAATGTGTTTTCTGGGTTACTAGGAAGTTATATGCTCTGTGCCAAAGCCCTTGGGGGAGCCCAGGGCAGCGGGCTCTGCTGCTCCCCGGGGAGCGGCTGCTCCTCGTTGGGCAATGGCAATGCTGGCCTGGGTAATCCAGGGCTGAAACCCCAGGGGAGCAGCAACCCTCCATAAACTAACACTCCACAATGGCTGCAGCAATGAAAAGTGATTCTCTTTATTGCACTGTGTATGCTGGGGTAATTACCCTCCTTTTTGATTTATGAGAAACCCTAATTGTTTACAGTGGTGGTTGGTTAAGCTAATGTTTGCTGCCAAGACAAATTAGACAAGAAAAATTCAGGCTCATCTATATTACTAGTGTGCCGTGGTGTCGGTAGTTTGACAGCATGGGGGGGACCAGCCTGTTCAAAGTTCACACTGCAGAATAGGCAGGAGGTATGCTTTGATCTTTGCTTATCAGAAGGTAGCGTCCACCTGCAAAAAAATCGGGTTTGCCCACCAGGAACGGTGGCTTTAACTTGCATTTGGCCATTTGCATGTTTTATCACCAGAATCTGCAGTGGCCCATTTGTCATAAATTTCAACAACCAGGATTTGTTCTGTGTACATTATAACATAGATTATATGGAAAATATTATTACTATGTTTACATTATCCACCCTTCGCCTGGGATGTCACTGCCACCCACACCACAGCCTGGCTAATACTGTCCCAAGCGGGTGAGGGTGGGATGAATGTGGTCATCAGCAAACCGGGTGAGCAGAGCAGCCTCCTCCCTGCAGTGTAGATTTGGTCATCTTCCATCTTCAAGGAGCTATTTCTCAGTGATAAGGAGCATCACCGAAGCACGGTCGGTTTTGCCTCATAGTATGCTCAATCCCTCGTATGTCTGGGATTGTCCTGGAAAGTTTTCATTATTTAGTATTTGCAGAATTCAGCTACATTAGGATATGACTTTCATATTAAGGTAATGCTGGAGAAAGTTTTTTAGTAACATTTTATTGAATTTTCATTTGAATAACCCCCCCATGAGGTGCTGTCCTGGCTGCTGGTGGCACTAGATCCAGAGGTGTTTGGGGAAGTTGCAGCCATGTCATAGGCGGTCCAAACCCATCCATTTGCCATTTCTTGTGGAGCTGCTTCGTGAAATGATAGAAAAATACTGGCAGCAGTTGAAATAACTTCACAGAAAACATAGCAAATAACGTTAAGGTCAATGTTAGCTATTTTCTATAAATACATTTGGCAAAAATGGCCATTTTTTCCATCCCAAAATTCAGAGAACATTTTCAGACTGCTCTATTTTGGCTCATTCTTCATGAACATTCATAAAAACGTTTTGTTCCTGGGAAGATTCATAGAAAATAAGTGTTAGAAATCCTCTTCTCTCTCACGCATATATATATACATATATGTAGGCTTTTGATGCGATTTCCCATCAGATCCTCATGGAGAAGCTGTTGAAGCCTGGGCAGTCCTGAACAGTAGCTGCAAAATGGTGCCTTGTCTTGCCCTGCAAAACTCTTTCTGCCCTACACAATGCATTGGTGGGCACAGCTTGCTTACCCTGCAGAGATAAAGCCCTCTGTGGTGCTTTATCTGCTCATCATAACATATCTAACTGAGTGCCACCATCCTCCCATCTGGGCTTGCATTTCTGGAAGGCCCCCCTGGGGCAGGACTTCATTAGGTGGGACAGGACCAACGCGACATGCCCTGGGCTTGCACAGAAAGGCTCTGTGATGTGATTTAGATTAAATTAACTCTGAACAGAAGCGGAGCGTTGAAGTCAGTCCCTGGCAGCTGCCTCCTGACAGGCTGGCCATGGACACACTTGGTAACTGGTGTCTGTTCAATCCAAATTGCAGCCTAATTAAAAAATAAAACAAATTCTTGTGGAAGGGGAGGAACTCTGCATAAGACCAAACTGGTGTTTTCTTAATATGGCCGCATAGATGTGGAACAACATTATGCAGTATCCTTCTCATGCTATATGGTTTTATATATAGTAGATATGTATATAAATATAATGAGCTCTATTTTTCCTGATACGGTTCTGTACCTGTCAGCTCTGTGCCACCGTACTCCTGCCTCTCTCTGACCATGCAGGTTCTTGACTCTGCTTTGCTGTTTCCAGGGCTAAAGGCTTCTCTCCAGAGGCTGCAGCTGGAGTACGTGGATGTCGTCTTCGCAAACCGGCCAGACAATAATACCCCCATGGAAGGTTAGTGGAAGCTTGAATTAAAGGTTTTAACGTGACTGATTGTGGCTTACAGGCTTAGACTGATGATGGTAGGAAATGAAAAACATTTTTTTATTAAATATTCAGGTGGGGCAGCTTAAATATGAAATACTTTATTCGTGATATCCTGGAGCCCTATATATTTACGCTTCAATGAAATGAATTTGTATCTCTTGAAAGGAAATTGAAGCTTCCTTTATGTCCCAGTGGTGGCTTTAACGTTGTTTGTTTCTTTATTTCCTTTTTCTGATTCCTTCAGATAAAGTGAATTTGTGTTTGCATTTGAGGCAGGTCTCTGTGTGAAATGAAACCTGTATATCCCTACCCCTGGTGCGGTCAGCTCTGGAGAGGGGAGCGTGCCAGTGCTGCCGTCCCCATCCTTGTCCACATCCCCTGGGCTGCCCAGGTAGCACATGCTTCTCCCAGCGCTAAAACCAGGGATGCGATCCAATACATGGTCAGAAACAAGAAATAATTGGCAAACTTTAGGGTTCATTGTCCCAAGTGCATGAGCGACACAAGCTGAGATGTAGCGTCTCTAGCGGGCTCAGCCTAGGGGCCGTGCGAGGACACGGTCCCCTGGGGCACAGCAGGGTCCCCCGGAGCATGGAGAGCAGCGACGCTCTGCCCATGGCGGAGCTCAGTTTTGGTGCTGCAGCCGCCTGCCCCTTGGTCCTGGTGGGGAATGGTTCTTGTTAAATGCAGTGAGGGGGGAACGAATTTAGGAACTTGCAAGACCTGTGAATATCTGTGTGCTTTAATTATGTTTTAATGCTGATAACTATATGTTCACGTTTGGTACATGGCCATATAGCCCAGTTATCCAGGAACCTTCATCAATATGTTTTGGGGTCAGTGCTCTATTTAACGGGCACCAGTTCCCATTCCTTCTCTTTTCCCATCGGAGTTAACGCAACCATTCACACTGTAGCAGAAGATTAGCTTCACAGCTAAATAAAAAATAGCAAGAAGAAAGACTTGCAGGCTGCAGAAGCTGTCATGGATGAGTACATGGAAATCAAACAAGCCTGGAGCTTGACAGGCCCCTCCGAAGCTCCTGGCTTGACTTTCAGCAGTCGTGATGCCTATTTTCTTAACAAATGCGGGGCTGTGCGACCCGGCACGAACCGCGGGTGGATGGCAGTACTGCTGCCCCTGCTGACCAGTGCCAGCAGCTATGGGTTCAGGGAACCGGCCTGGGATTTTAAGACCAGTGCAGATTTTTGTAGTAGCTGATGAGGTCTAGCAACATGACATGTTGTATCTTGGAGGGAGAAATGACCTCTCTGCTCAGTCAGTTGTCATCTAATGAGGCAGTGCAGAATATATTTCCCATGCCCGTGCAGCACAGATGATTTCAGGCATTTACAGCTTTTAAGATGCTACAGATACTGCTAGCAGCGCTGGAGCTTGGCGATAATATATAAACTGTGGTGCTTGGTGAGATTTTGAGCAGGGTGAAAAAAGGGACATTTTTATTATGAATGGTGTGGTGTTGATTCTTTCTATGTACTTCATGGTTTTTTACGGTTCACCTACTAAGCCACTTCTATCCCAGAGCATCTGTTGAACCATCTGTCAGTTCTGCACTATCTGGCATGTACAAAAAGTGCTGAGCTACCTCCACAAGACGTACAATCCCCGCTCCGTCTCCTTACGTGCCTATGCTTTTCCCACGAGCAAATAGTTGCTTCTGATGGAGAGCAATTTGTAGGTAACCTTAAAACGTTCCCTGCTTGTGCTACTCGTGCCAACATGTGAGGGTCCTGCTCGAGCAGACAGTGTGGTTGTATGCTGTAAGGTACAACCAAATAAATCGAAGGACAAACTTTGAATGTTCATTTTGTTTTCTTCAGTTGCTGCATGCAGGCAGGTGAGGTTTCTCTGTTAGCACTTGGGGTCTTCCGTCCGCTGTGATGTGTGTGTCTGTGGGCATCAGCAGGCAATGGATCAGCAACTTAGAAATACTCATCTGGTCCACCCCAGCCAGAGCAGAATCGCTTCCCGCTCGCTCAGGCTGGTCATGTCCCAGCTCAGGCTGCCTTAGGAGGCATGTGTAAAGGAGATCTAGTAAGAAGAGATGAGAGTTTAATACAGATTTCTTTATTGTAGGTGACTCTGGTCCCCAAAGCGGCAGGCAAAGCTTGCTTAATCTAAAAATCTGGAACGTATTTACCTTTCTGAAAAGTCTCAGAGCAAATTAAAAAAGCTTTTCATTGTAAAAGCAATGCAATATTAGCTTCAAGGAACAACTGGAGATGACTACCCTGTGCAAAGCTCTTTGCATAACAGTGCAGTCAGGTCCGGCAGGTCCCTGGCCAGGACAGCCGTGTCACTCCTCACCCCTGACCTGGTCTCAGCTTTGCTGGGGTAGGCAGGACAAGGGGCCATCCTCACTGGGGTCGGCCATCCATAGGGCAATCCCGGCCCTGGCGCCCGTGCGGCTCTGCCATCGCATGGTCCCCCCAAACGGGGACCTCAGGAGATGGGTGATGGGAAGGATCTGTGCTTCTCTCCTGAATTTCTGCAAGTTTCATGTCTCGTTAGTCAGGCTGGAGATCTGATCCCCCAGCTGTGCTAGCAGATGCTTTTTTTCATCCCGACCGGCTTTTCCAGCAGACGAGCAGGGCAGCTCTGGCTGTGGGGAAGGAGGGTCCCCTGGTGAGACCCCCCGTTGTCACTGTGCTGGGGCATGGGGCGCCCACTGCACAGGCAGCCCCAGCCCTGGCAAGCAGGTGGGGAAGGTGACATGGTTCCTATCAGGGAACTTTAAGCTACTTCAAAAATTATTATTATGCTGCTGGAGGCTGTTTTCCAGGTTTTGAAACATTCATTTACGTTTAAAAAAAATCTCCCCTTCTTAAGTGATGTCATTTCTGCCATCCAGCTGGCAGACTGAGCGATCCAGGCACGTGCTCTTCACAAACCATCCCATCGCCATACCCATGGGAGCAGTCCCTGGTAAACAGGAAGATATATAGATATAGCTATATAGATATCTTTTCTGAGTTGACTTCAGTTTTTCTTGAAAGGAGTAGATGTGGGAGAAATGAAAACAACTATGGACCAAAATGTGTAAGAGGCATATGATGAAATGCTTATCTAAATTCCTAAATGGTAGCATGGCAAAAATAGAAAACTAAACCCAGTGAGAACCTGGCGCTGCTGAGGAGGGAGGGATTGCCGTACAGCTGCCCGTCACACACAGCACGCCTGCGGGTAGCAGGGAAGCTGCTTGATAACAGGGTATTTTGTTGGACTAGTACATGCCAGAGAATAAAATGTTTAGAAATAGAGAAAAGTATGGCTTTGGCCAAAACGAAGAAGAAGGAAAAGAAAAAGAAAACAATATCTGGCATTTGAACTCTACTATTCATCGGGGAAAAAACTCCTCAAGCCAACGTTTCCCTGGAGAGGAAATCTCCTTTTTCAGTGGGAAGGCAGAAGCCCAGCACAAGAGGCATTGTGTCTCTTGTACAGCCCTCCGAGGTTATAAATGGAGACTTCATCATCTTTAGCTGCTTGTCGCTGCCTGCAGAAAAAATCTCACAATAACATCAAGATTGGCAGTGTAATCTCCCCTCTGCCAAGCTCCTTTTTTTTTTTCTTTCTATAAATAGGACGAGAATCCTCATGATATAAAAGGCAGCTCATCTTGATCTTGAGACAGCGATGCCCAGAGTCATTGTCCAAGTAACAGCAGACACGCCAAGGGATGTAATGAACACACAGGGCTTTTCCACGCAGCCCTGCGTCCAACTGGAGTTGTTTCACCATAGTTTAATGGGTCAGAAATTCATGGTGTAGCTGTGGACTATCGGGTCCTTGCTGCTTTCCCAAGGGAAGAGCTCACTGAGATACAGCAGGACCCGCTGACTGTGAGGTCCCTCGTGTGGCACTGAGCGTGGTGACTAAGTACTATTTTCTTTTGCTTCTCAGAGTGAGTTTAGCCCATTTTTGTCCGTTTACATGATGTGCTGTTAGTGGCCAGCATAGTGCCAGTGCCCTGGCAGCCGCTGCTTGGCTCCAAAGGGCAGGGAGTGCTGAAGCTCAATAAGAAATATGAATTTATTACAGCAGCCGGGGCAATTATATATGCTCTTATGGTTGCTTGTGAGGACTGTGTCCCCAGGCCTGCAGACCCCACCAGTCCCCAGACCCTCCCACCCTGGGGACCCCGCTCAATCCTGGGGACTCCTCTCAGTCCCCGGCTCCTCTTGCAGCAGAGTTGCGATGGGCACTGCCTGGGCCTCCTGCAATGCCATGTACCCAGCAGGCTGCTCCCAGGGAGAAATCAAGCTTAAAAATGAGCTGCAAACAGTAAGCAGGGGCTATTTTCCTTACAGCATTAGCAAGGCATCCTACCAGGCTCTGTAACCCCCTGGGAACTGTGAGGGATAGACAATTTTTTTCTCCTTTTCTTGCAAACTAAAGTTTATGATGGGTTTTCTCCCCCTGCCGCAGAAGGCAGGGCTGCTCAGCAAAGGTCTGATGGATGGAAATGAAAGATCCTGACCTTGAGCATGTAGCCTTGCAGGCTTCTATCTTCCCAAAAGAAAATGAGGACCATGGGACTGCTGTGCTAAGGAGCTGCGCTGGGTGTTGCAGAGGTGCCGCCTGCTCCTCCCGCGAGCGGCGGGGCCCTTGGTGGACCAGGGTTCAATTACCCAGTTTTGTAATTTTATCCCCAGCATCCTAATATTCCTAGTAAAAAGAAGCAGGACCTAATATATGCTTTTAGTAAACAAATTTTAAAATAAATTTAATTTTTTAGTGTATTTTTTGACTGTGCTGCCCTCTTGTGTTAAATTTTAAAAGTATTATTATCATAAGGCAGTGGTAGGTAATAGCCAGTTGGAAAAAGCAGTTTTTAAACAACTGCAGGATAAAATTCTTTACATTCGCACTGTCAATGCTTTTTCATCCATGCTCAAGCAAGAGAACACAACAGAAGTAGTGTTTAATGCAAAGCTGCTCAGGCTTGTCGGTGTACTTGGCATTTATATGTGGCTTTGGGAGGATTCGGTGCTGAAAAATTGGCTTCTGTGCAGTTCTCATACTTCTTTTTTCCCTCCTTTAGAAATTGTCCGAGCGATGACACATGTAATAAACCAAGGTATGGCGATGTACTGGGGAACGTCACGCTGGAGCGCTATGGAGATCATGGTAAAGTCGATTTTTGGGAAAGCATTGACACTTGGTAATTCCGCTTCCAGGCTGCAAAGTCTGCTGAAAGCCACACTGGGAGCTGAACCACAAATGTGTCTGGGCTGGGGATGTTTGCGTTTTACTCCATCCAGCATCTTTTCACCTAAACTAATTTTAAAACCTGTTATGGAATGAGCCCAATGTTAATTAGGAGAAGATGGACTGATATAGTTGTTTGGGAGTTTGGGTGTCTTGGCTCATTTAATTGGGGTTTGTTTCACTTTGGTTTTATTTGGCTGACTTCAAGACTTTTGGTAAAGCGCCTGTTTGATGTCCGTGCCCATGGCCACTGATGCCCCGTTGAAGACGTGGCTCCCGGCAGCAGCTCCATGACCCACGGGACTGTCAGAGCTGCTGCTGTGGTGGAAACGGTCCCCGTGCAGGGGAGAAGCCCCCGTGGGTGGCACTGCTCTGCACGTGTCATGTCCAGAGGTGCAGATGGGAAATATCCCTGCTCAGCCGCAGGGACCTTGTAACGGGCTTTACCTGAAAAAACCCAGACTGGGGGAACCAGCATCCTGACAGCTCATCCTTAATGCCTTGTCAGAAGCATTTGTTGTTGCCTGGAGAGGTGGTAGAAGCCCCATCCCTGGAAACATTCAAGGTCAGGCTGGACAGGGCTCTGAGCAACCTGATCTAGTTGAAGATGTCCCTGCTTAGTGCAGGGGGGTGGACTAGATGACCTTGAAAGGTCCCTTCCAACCCAAACCATTCTGTGATTCTAAGAGATGCCAGGCGCATCCTGCCGGTCCCTGCTTTTTGCAGTGGGGTCAAAACACGATAAACAAGCTCGGCACCAACCATCCCAGCTGGGAAGTTGTTTGGCTTGTCGCTGCGCTGGCACTGAAGGCAGCTTTCGGCTGGAGGAGGCAGAAGGCAGGTACGTGCCCTGCTGTGGCGGGTGCAGGGGCAGTGGGGAAGCAGCACAGGCAGGGATGGGGCTGTGTTTCTGCCTCTGCACAGCGGCCTTCACGGGGATGTGCGTGGCCTTGCTAAGGAATAGCAAAACTTGAGTTCGTTGGCACCTGCACACTCAAGGAGTGTTGGCTGGTAGGTTATGTCCCGCAAGATGCTTTTACTTAATGAAGTATTTTATCTACTGATTTCTTTTCTCCAGGAAGCCTACTCTGTAGCCAGGCAGTTTAACATGATACCACCCGTGTGTGAACAAGCTGAATACCACCTTTTCCAAAGAGAGAAAGTGGAGGTTCAGCTGCCGGAATTATATCATAAAATAGGTAAGACTGAGACTGCTGGGCCTTTCAGCTATTTCATTTGCAGAAGGAAATACAGAGCATGCTGACCTGGGGCTTTAGATGGGAACAGTGCTCTCCTCCCCTGGATCTGAAGGAGGCAGACAAGTATCTATCTAATGACCTAAAAGAAAAACTGGTTTACCGTGCCTCTGATAGAAATAGGTGCTAATTGCCATGGCTGCTTCTTACTCTTTGAGACTCAAGGCAGCATGGGTGTGGGAGATGCCTGGGCTGAGAAGCAGGAGTTCAGGTACTTTGCTGCAGCAGGAGCCAGGATGGGGCTGGAGGCTCTCACAATAAGGTTTTGGATGAATAAGCTAGTCAGTGTCTTCCTTAAGGGCATCAGCAGCATCTTCCCAGAAGACACTGACTGAACATCGCTGACAGCGGCAATAGGAACAAGCAGCAATTGTTTTGCTTTTCTGGTTTTTTTTTTAACTAAAAGTCTTATTTTTTGATACAACTCTGATTTCTCCAGTACCCTAAAAATCTTTCTCTGCAGGGGTCGGAGCAATGACGTGGTCTCCACTAGCCTGTGGGATCATCTCAGGGAAATACGGCAATGGGGTCCCTGAAAGCTCAAGGGCTGCACTAAAGGTATTTTGTTGTTGCATGTTTGAGAAAAGTAGATGTGCTGTTTCTGTGAGTGCAGGAAAAAAAGGGAAAACACATCCCTCATGAGAAGGCTGGCCTGTGTGCTGCTGTGTTGATAGATCAGCTCGGTTTCTCTGGCAACCACACTCCAAAGTGCAAGAGAATCTGGGTTATAAAGATGCTTCAGGTTCCCCACCGCAGTGAGCTGATGGCTGTGAGCTGGTTGTGGGGCAGCATGCGACTGGAGCCAGGCTCTGCGGGCGCTCTGCAGAAGGATGCATGGCCACCCTTACATTGCCCGGACATCATCAACGAGAACGCACAAGCCCAGGGTTTCTGTTGTGCTTGATGCTCCCAGCTAATGTTAATCGATATAGCCGCTGTGACTTCAAAACCCCTTAACCACACACAGTGGGTAAAACAAACTTGGACGTTATTTTTCTGCCCACCCTTCCCTGGGCACCAGCCTACCAGGCAGCAAGTGCATGGCGGGGGAGCTCAGCCCCGCAGCATCCCTCCAGGGAGCCCCGCAGGCAGGGCAGACCCCCAGCACACTGTGAAACCTGTGGGTGCTCGGTGGTTCTGCCCTTTGCCGGGCAGGGCAGCAGCCCTCTCTGACAGGTTTAGTGTTGCAGTGTCACCACAGCACTTGGTTTCTCCCACAATTATCCTGATTTTACTTTTGTGGGGTGTTATGGGGTCTCCTTCCATCTCATGCCTGTGGCAGGCATATTATTTAATGGTTTGAAAAACAGCAGAGCATTAAAATGTCACGGATTTGGGAAAAAAAACCCAACCAAAACGGTATTTGAGGCTCTGTGTCAGCTGATGGGCAAAAGCCAATGCCAGCAGTGACAAGTGCCAGCAGACTGATGTACGTCCCTGTGCTGGTTTTTGCTCAGCTTGGTGCTTTTTAAAGGAAAGACACAGTCTACACTGACTTGCTTACAAAGGGCAGCATTTTCAAACGTGGTATTTCATTGCATTTGTGATTTTTTTTCCAAAATAAAATATATTATTAATATTTGGTAAAAGCTAGCTAAGAAGGTAGCATTGCAGAGAGGGATCCAAATTAAATTGATGAGAGTGAAGCAGAATCAAGTTTCAAGTCTGGAGTTGGGAGAACTGAAATCTCAGCTTTGTTTAATTAATTTTCTAATCCTAACCAGTAATAGTAAAGCTTGAACAAGATCAGATGTTCTCAATTTTTTTTTGGGGGGGTGGGGTGTCAAAATCTTCTCAAGTTGACTAATATTTCACTTTTTTCCACTCTGTGATGGGATCCAGTTGTCCAAAAATAAAACTGAGGAGGTTCCAGGTTCCAGACCGAGCCCATCAGTTGCATAAAGCCAGAGAGATACAGACATAGGCTCTCACAGGAGACATCCTGGTCCTGTCGTAATTGCTTCGGGTAGCAAAGCATTGTGTTATTCAGCCTCAATTACCTCCTGGGTTGGATGTGACTTTTTAAGAGCTGTTTATAATTGCCTTAAGCTTTCCATTTTGGAAGATTAAAGCTAACAGTCGATTGCAATGTAATTCACCTCCAGTGCTACCAGTGGCTGAAAGAGAAAATCATAAGCGAGGAAGGCAGAAAGCAGCAGGTGAAGCTGAAAGACCTGTCGCCCATCGCCGAGCGCCTCGGGTGCACGCTGCCTCAGCTGGCCGTCGGTAGGTGATGGGATGGGAGAGGAGGGTCCCTGTGCCTTCGTCCTTTGCTGCTGTCACAAGTGCATCACCTAGCTCGCATCCTCGTAGTGCGAAGGGCAAGACTCTCAGGTGCAGACAGAATGTTTGTGCCTTATGGGTTGTTGAGACGAGTGCAGGTGAAATCTTGCACCAGCCCCTAAAGCGACAGGTACTGTTAGTGCTGCCATCATTTGTTGAAGTATCAGTGATGGTTAGGTAAACGGTTACACAGGAAAAGACGTGTTGCCTTTCAAATAGGACAAAGGATGGCTTTGTCTTTGCCTCTATCTGTAGATCTATTTTTTTATTTAAAACTTTTAAATGATTGTTTACTATCAGGAGTTATGGAACAAAATGCTAGAAACACTGAAGATGGGCAATGCAACACCTCACTAGGAGAAGGCTAATGCATTTCAAGGAACACAGTAAAAGAACAAAATAAAATATGCTTTAACTTTTGGTCAGCCCTGAAGTGGTCAGGCAGTTGGACTAGTTGATTGTTGTAGGTCCTTTACAACTGAAATATTCTATTCTACTCTATTCTAAAACCCACTGTAGGACATTAAAATGCCATGTATTGCTTTTGATGTAACCCCTGCTCCGTTATCCTCACACAAAAATAACGTGGGTTGGGGTTTTTTTTGAGCAGTAAAGTTAAAAATTACTTAAAATAAGATTGTTTCCAGCATCATCATCAGGCTTTGATTGACAGGAGGGCTAGCGTATCTTGGGCCATCATCAGGGGTCCAACCCCAACCTGCCTGGTTCTCTGAGCAGTCCGTCCCCAGGTGGAAGCCATCAATTGTTCGGTGCACTGGGCTGACAGACACAAGAGAGTGCTACTTTTTAAAAAGGTTGGGTTTTTTTTTTTTTAGTCATTATCTTTGTGCTGCTGAGAGCCAAGGCTGAAAAATACCACACATGCCTGTTAGAAAAATGATCGCTGGTTCAAATAGCCAAGAGGTGAATCCCTGTGATTTGTGATAGGGAAAAACCAAACCCCACAATTATGGCCACTGCTGGCCCAGGGACCAGGGTCAGATGGGATGCTGGAAGATCTGCTATGTGGTTTGTTATCTGATCTGTGCATCTTCCTCCTGGTAGTACCGGTTGAGGAGTGAAGGTTGAGACAAATAATGTTGTCATTATTTTTCAAATAGAGATAGAAGCTCTGACAAACATTAGGATCTGGAGTAATGCCGTGTTGTGAAGCCCATGTTCCTGACCATCTTGTGACTTTATTCCCAGCATGGTGCCTGAGAAACGAGGGGGTGAGCTCTGTTCTTCTAGGATCTTCCAACCCAGAGCAGCTGATAGAGAATCTCGGAGCCATACAGGCAAGTGCAGGTGGTGGTGGCACCTCAACAGAGGTGGGGGGTTAGCTACTGCCCAGCTCCCTTTGGGAGTAACACCAGCATACCTTGAGACTAGTGCCCTTGTTCTCTTAATAGAGTTTTAATACTTCGTATTTTGTTTCAGGCATCTTCCCGTTCTAGTTACACACATTAATTAGGCAAACCTATGGTGCGTCACCATGACTTACCACCATTTGTGGTAGTTATAGCTGTATCCAGCAACAAGAGGGTGGCATCAGCAGGTTTAATGTATCTGAAAAAGCGAGCGACCTGACTCCAGGACATGTTGTGATATATTCTGCACCAAGTCTTCCACAGGGCACGTGTCACTTGCACCCACCTTAATTATTCTCTGTTGCTTCTCACAATAAAATCTTCCGCTGATGTTCTTGCTACCAGCTCGCTTTCCGCTGCAGCCGAGTAATATTGTGCACATAAAATTTAGGAGCACTTCTGTGATTCTCTCACAAGGTAAAGATACTACAGTAGTTTTTTCTTTAAGGGAGAAAGGTATCAGATGAATGTTTGAGTATCTGTCACACAGAAAAAACAGAGGAAACATTATTTGATAAAATCTAGATTTAAATTTGGAAAAACCTTTAATGGAAGCTTGATTAAACATCAGTTTTCTTCTACCCCTAGGTCCTTCCAAAGATGACATCCCATATTGTAAACGAAATAGATAATATTCTGGGAAATAAGCCCTACACCAAGAAGGACTACCGATCATAATGCAATGCATGAATTACCTGGACTGCATGGTTTAAAAAGTGCTGTGTACAGAAGTACAGCCCCGAGTTAATATCCGGTCATGAGAATCATTCAGCAGCTTGCTGCTCGGTGTCTACTGTCACTGGATCCTTCGAGATGTGTGCTATTCCTACTAATCTGCAGTGAAATTTAAAAGCACAGTTGATCTCTCTTCTAACCAAGAATAATCTTGTATTTTCTTACCTTTGACTGAATTCATTAATTTTTACTTTACTCTTAGCACCTCATGCTTGTGCTGTGAAAAACACTTGTAAAGCAAAAAATAATTTATAACCTTCAGGTACTTGGTAATTAAAGGAGGATGTACAGATCTATTTTTTCAATGAAGAAAAGCCAGATACAACTTAAGGTTTTAATAAATCCACATTTGGGAAATCTCAACTATAAAGTTTCTTCAGGTTAACAGATAGAAGGGGCAAGCTCAAATTTTCCGTTTTCTTTTTTATGCTGAATATACGCTTTAGATTTCGTTTGTAGTTGAATAAAGGATGTAAGACAGAGAATTAGTTAGAAATTAGATAGCTCAACTCCTAAGTATACAATTATTTCAGCTGTGGAGCACTCCTGGGAAGTATTTCTGAGTACAAGCCAGAAGAGCACAGTTAGAAAATCCAAACACGCACGTCAGGTTAATAAAAACAATGGCTGTTTGCAAAATTCTAATTCTACGTAAACCTTAAACCAAGAAATCCAAGACAGAGAATTAGTTAGAAATTAGATAGCTCAACTCCTAAGTATACAATTATTTCAGCTGTGGAGCACTCCTGGGAAGTATTTCTGAGTACAAGCCAGAAGAGCACAGTTAGAAAATCCAAACACGCACGTCAGGTTAATAAAAACAATGGCTGTTTGCAAAATTCTAATTCTACGTAAACCTTAAACCAAGAAATCCATGATAAAATATTGGGGTTTGCATCTGTAGAAACCTGCCTCTACTTCTGCCTGCTTGTAGACATAGGTATTGCAAATTTCAATATTAATGAGCTTTTAAGGATATAGATAATTATATATAATACATAGCTGCTGAAAAATACCAGAAAAAATCAGGTGCGTACTTTGGTGGAAGGTCATATTGCTGTAACTTGTTCTGGAATCGGGCATAAGTAAATGCATAGTATTTTTAAGACACATTTTAAACAGGTAGGGTTTTTTGTGAGCATTTCATCCCTCTACAGGAGTTGATAGTAAGCACTTACATATTAATTTGCCCATCTCAAGACCCACGTCGTATTTTACCATGAGTTTGCTTTGTAAAACGCACCTATGATTTCAGTAAGTATTTCTCACCCGTATTGAATCACGTACTTTGGGCACATACTTCCTAGGGGGTACAGCTATATACAGTATTTGTAGGACCCTTGTATTCTAGTCCCCTTAACTCCAGGATATCTGCAGAGCGTGCAGCATTCAGGGGGCCACGTGAACAGATACCAATACTTGAGTTGTCTTCTCCTGTATTTAATCCAATGAGCTATGGTATGTGTAAATGAACTTAGCTGCTGTATATCCAGAAATGCAGTCTGACTTTGACTTCTGCTTGGACACAATAAAAGCATTTTGTGCATCTAATTTTATACTTAGAGACCTGTTACTAATAGTGAGACTGATTTTGAAACAGCAATGGTTTATGCTGAAAATGGATATGTGTCGTTCCACAGGGAAACACTGATCTTCAGCTGTAGCCAGGTTGGGCAAGGGACAATGACCTTGGGCCAGAGGAGTGGGTAGTGGCCAGCTGGGGAGCCAAGGTCTGGTCTGGTCTGGCTGCGCATCTCGGAGAAGGTACTTCTAGAAGTTAGTCTCCTAAGGCAGACATCAGTCCTATATAACATTTTGGCCTGAAATAAGCACAACATCAATGTCCCCCTGACAGTTCACTGAAATCCCACGGCACCTCAGTCACCAGCCTCTCCAAAATGACACTGGGCTGGTCAGGCACAGCTAGCTGAGGTGGAGACCGCCACCAAAGCACTTCTCACCTCCCCAGTATTACTTTCACTGCTCTGGGCCATGTCCCCTAACTTTGCAGTATAAGCTGTGAAAATTAGCTATTTAAGTATTTCAAAATCTGCTTCACAGGCAGCACAAAGGCTTTGACCATTATACAGTTAATACCTTTATTATTTTAACAGTGTAATTATTTTCCCAGTAGCAGACTAGTTCCTTTTCTTACCTCTGGAGGTACAATTTAATGTTCTTTCTTCACCTTCTCAGATACATGGAATCCAACAACGTATTAAAAATGTTAATTCCCAACCTTTTTTTTTTAATTGACAATGAGATGGCATTGTCCCTTACTTAGAGCAAAAGCTTAAAAGTCAGCTTGCCTAATGCTCTGAGGGCAATGGGGCGCCAAGCGGTAGCCTAGCTTTAGGCTAACCTTCAGCATTATACTGAAGAAACTGCATGCAACTTGTAGTGGGGATTGCAAGGGAAAAAACAACCAACCAACCTCAAAAGCAAACAAAAATCCAAAACAACGACAAACACCCCCCAGTGCTTTTCTGTGAAGAAGTCCACTGAAAAGACTAGGGTTTCGTAGGAAACAACCCAACCCACCCACTTTTGTTTCAGGCTGTCAAAGTTCTCCCTCCAGAAAAATGCTGACACACACACTATGCTCCAGGCTTCAGCAACTGTCAATACCAAAGAACTAAGGTAGGATGAAAAGCTGTTAATAAAAGACTCGGCGAACTGATAGTAATTAATAGCAGAAGAAAGTGCTGCTTCAAATGACTTTTCACTAGACGGCAGACTTCCTGGAAAATATGCCTGCCACTTTCTAAAACGTCCGATAGGTCAGTCTTATCCCTACCAACGCTGACAAGTAAAATGAATATATTAGCATTGTCTGTTCACCTGTCTGAATTTAAGTACTGTGTACTTTTGGTAGGAGCTGAGCAAATCACTACTGACCAGCAAAACAGCAACATTCAAGTCCTGTTGCTTACAGAGCGGTCAGCTTGGCCTTATGTTTGATTCTGACCATTTATATAAGTTTGTTAGAAATTTGTTTTACATGTGCTAAATACTTAGACTAAAATACACACAAATTATATCCTTTATAATAAGTGATAGGCCAAGGAAAGTAAAATTATGCAAGCAATATGGAAAGGCTCCTTTCAGTAGCAAATAAGCAGGCGGAAGCAATAAAGAAAAACCCACATATTTTGAGGGAAAACAATCAAGTTAATTTGAAGAGTGTTAAATGACTGATCAGAAAAGTAATTTCAGTGACAGCTCTAAAGTGCACCAAAACCACTGGAATTTTCATGATGTAAGCACATGCATAGTATTACCTTTACTGGGAAGCAAAGTAAAAGTAAATTATGCAGTGGAGAGTTGAGATTGAAGACCCTCATCTAACCCCAATCCCAAAGGATGCCGAAGAGAGAAGTATTGTAATAGTCAGCAGGCACTGGGTAACTAGGTAACGGTTTTGTGAGACTGTCCTGGTTGCATTTGTCAGAAATAGAGACATTACAAACTCAGCATGCTCTAAGGGAAGCCAGATGATACACTGTCTCCTGCATTTCAGAATCTTCATTTTACCATATTTTACTTCATTAAGATTTGTATTTATGTAAAGATTAGCAAAGTAATTGTTATATTAAATCTGATTAAGCTTTCTCTTTCTTCCCTGTTTAGGATTTCAAGTCTGCAATGGCAAAATCTGTAACTTCTACAATATGATTCCATTAATAGTAGTAGAGTTTAGCATTTAACGTAACAGCTGCTTCACTGATGATAGCATGGAAAAAAGCAAAAGGATTGTCTGATAAACCCATTATACAAAGCCAGCTAAAGCATTTTTGTTAAGCTGTGCCAGGAAAACTGGCAGGTTGGTGTTTGGTTTTTTTTTTTTATTTACAACTTTATAGATGAATGAAAAAAAAAAGTACATTGAAACCACTTCAGAAGTATTTTTCTAGGAGACACTAGGTTTTGTCCTGACTCCAAGTTACTTAAAAATGAGGAGTACTTCCAATGAAAACAATACATATGCTGACTTGTAGAAGACTCCTCTCCTCTGGAAGCAGAAAGAGTTGACAAACCTACACACACTGCTTGCCCATGAAAATACCCATTTTTTAAAAATTAAGAATGGAAATACAAGGAATTAAATGACAAAAAAGCCTCCTTTTTATTAAAACTTTTCAAGTTACAATGATAAATGGTAGATTGTCACTTTTTATGATCAGTGAGTTTGGCTCTTACACCAGTCACCAAACTTACAGGGGAATTCTGTTACAGGTTTTAAGTACAACCGTTTGTGCTGCTGTGTAGCAGTCCCTTACGGTGTACTTGTCTAATAGTCTGTAGTACCATCACACCTATGCAGTGCTTCAGAAAGGTTATGTTTGGTAACTGCTCACACACCATTTCCTTTTGTTAATAAGTAAAAAAATTAATTAATTCAATTATTGAATAATACCATGTAAAGATACCAAAGTAAATATAATTCAATCATTTTGGATTCAAACCCTCCCCCCCATACCCTCAAGCAGTCACACTATAAAAAAAAAAAAAATGTATTTATATTCCACCCTTAAACTTTTGTATGGCAGGTGAAACCCCTCACAGAAATAAATTTCTGTGTTTTTTTTTTGTTAATAAGTAAAAAAATTAATTAATATTATTGAATAATAATACCATGTAAAGATACCAAAGTAAATATAATTCAATCATTTTGGATTCAAACCCTCCCCCCCATACCCTCAAGCAGTCACACTATAAAAAAAAAAAAAATGTATTCCTATTCCACCCTTAAACTTTTGTATGGCAGTTGAACCCTCTCACAGAAATAAATTGCTGTGGGTTTTTTTTGTCTACTTGGATCCTGTAGATAGCAGAGCAATCAGTCCAGATGAAGCACTTATAGAAAGAATATAGTTTCTGTAGGGAAAAGGTTAAGGAAATATACTTGTAAAGATACCACTTCTTTTGTACAGAACATTTAGTAGAAGTTTTATGAAAAACAAGGAATTGAAATGGTCTTTCTCTGTAGGAGTTTTAAAATTGCAACATTGTAACCTAAAATACAGCTTACAATCAAGGCTGTTAGCAGGACATTGAAACGTACTTAACTTCAAAATTAAGATACCCATAAAGTTTAGCCTGTTCTTTTAAAACTAGCTATAAATACTGTTAAATACTGCAGATCTTTAATTAACATATGCAGCCCTGATTGGCAGTACTTATTTACTTCAGTAACAAAAAATTTTACTTGTGAAGTTACTGAAACTAAACAATCCTGTAACGTAAGAGCACCTGGCAACTAACACTGACGCAGTGTTTCTATAAGAACATGAGCTGCCTCCTCATTCCACAATTACAACTGAAATGGCAAAGCCATAGGAATTTCTGTATATTGCCCAAGTGATATCCTTAAAACATCTCGTGTCAGATGTTAAACTTTTACATGATTGGGAGATATTTTTTTTTTGTAATCTCTGTTTTTATGTTATAGTGTTTCTAAGTTGAGGTACTACAATGAACTGCACCTATCAGAGTAATCTCACAACACGCATGGCAAACATAGCTACTAATGACAACAAATAGGAGTAGGACTCTGGTTGTTTCAAACGTGGTAATAAAGGATACACAGTGGGGTTGAAGTTCTTCAGCACAAAAAATGAAGCAATAATGACCAAGACCAGAAAGAGAGTATTGTTGTAGAAGATGGAAAAAGTTGTTGCTTCATAATCTGCAACTTCATTTTTCTTCCACAGAATTCTATGAACAAGTAGAGACATTATTTCAGGCATATTTAAATCAATGCATATTCTGGCACACCCACCATTATGAAGCAACTGACACCACATACTGCTGCTCTTGTTATAGCCAGCTTCTAAAAGACAGAGCGCAGCAACAACTACCAGTCAACTCATTAGTTAAAGACAAAACCCTGCATATACTATGCACTTGTACACTTACGTGACTTACGCTTGTTCTCCTACCAGGCATATCAAAACTAGCCCTTTATAAATAACACTTTTTGTGAGTTCGTATCTGTTAGATGCTACCAGCGTGCCTGGCAATTAGAAGGGAAGATACGGCTTTTTGCTCCAAAGAGCTGACAGTTCATGTCCTTGTGTCTTGTACATAATGGGCATCTACTCTAATACTAAGTGCTTCCCGATACGCTCATCGGGCATAGCCTGGGTATTAGTATGAGCTATTCAATTGGAAATCTGCATACTGAGACGTGCCAGTTATAACCATGAGGGGTAACAAGTACAACCAGTGATTAGCAGTGCAGTCCAGCAGTATATGGAAATGTTATTCTGAAGGAACTTGCATGTCACTATGCAAAATACATTGCGCTAGCCTGTCCTTGAAAAAAAGAGCTTTTCTTATTTCTGAAGACAGCTGTGATGTTTACTCTTCAGAGAGTTATTAGAAGGCCTGTACAATTAGCTGTTTTGCTTTGCAGCTCAAGGACAGAGACGTTGGCTTATAGGACCTTATTGATAAAGGTTTCAATGTTTGAGACCTTTCATAACTTGCCTCAAAAAGGCTTTATAGATGAACAAAGAGCTGACACTACAGCTTCTACTTACCAGAATACAGAAAAAACCCAGTGGCCAAGCAACAGTCCCTAATATCCTACCCGGAGCCTTAAAGATACCAGGCAGTATTACAGCAAGGGAGAGAAAGAAGAGAACAAAGAGGATTACCTTTCATCCTTCTCCTTGCGAGACATCTTCCTATTGTCTGCCTCAGACAGCTTGCGAGTAACTTCTTTGGAAACAGCGTCTTCTCTTTTCTGTGCTACTCTGTAAGAAACACCATTTAAGTTGAAAAATGAAAATAAAAAACCCCGGGGTTATAGGAAGTTGTATTTACAGTGAAGAATAATACTTTGCCAAAACACTGAACAGTTTTGCCAAGTTGAAGGGACAACAAGTAATAATCAAATTACTAAAAGTATTAGTCAAATATAGTTTGTGGCAATACCCACTGAGAATGAAGGTAGTTTTGCTATTTTATTGTACACTTAGCTGACAAGGCTAGTCTGTTCCGTAATTACAAGAGAGATGACAGAAACCAATTAGGAGATACTTCTGGGTAAAATAGTTTTTGGAGTAACATTTCAGACAGTCTTATTCATAAAAAAAAATGTTGTAAATCCTGGTTTTGCTAAATTATTTAATAATAAATTCTATTTCAAATAGCCACCAAACTTACTTATGTTTGAGAACAAACTTGACGTTCTTATATGCAAAAGCGACTAGATAGGTACTGATGAGGGTCATTACACTATACAGGACTGCAGACTGAACAAGATCCATATGCCATATCCTCCAGTAAAGCCCTTAAAAGAAAAAAAAGAAAAAACAACCATTTTGAGTGGTTTCTCTCTCAAAGAAAAATGTCCCCACAGGAGTCCTATGCTAGCTCTGCCAGACCAAAGCCAGTTCCTGCAAAATCACTTGGGGGGTCTCCGAACAACATTAAAAAATACTTTCGAACAGAGAAATCTGCTTTGCTTTTGGCTGAAAGGGGCCTTACAAGACCACGTCAAACTTGGCTGAGAAGCAGCCCAGCGCAGACAGCCTGCCAGCTTCACGCAGCGCTGATGCTGACACGTCAGTGTTCCACCAGCAGCTCGCCCACCTTTACAAACCAGAGAACAACCTCCCTGCCCGCTGTTCCAAGCAGGACCGGCTTCGAAGCTGGATATAACACGGCACGGAGGCAGCCGAGATAATCCCGCCTGGGGTCGGCTCAAAGCCGGCCAGGCCCGGGGCAAGGCAAGCCCCAGCAGCCCGAGGACCCCTACCCGCAC